TTCCTGAAATCCAGTGTGGCCCAGAGTTCCTGATGCTGTCGCTTTCTACCAGCTTCTCTTGGATTGCCCTCCAACTTGGCCCTTCATTTTCCACACCTCCTTTTGAACCTGGTTCTGTTCTGGGACCTGCACTTTGCTTGGGATTTTTCTCACTTGTGTTTGCCTTTTTTATTCCAAGTTCAACATCCAGAAGCATACTCCCCACTGAAGATAAGGATAATCAAGCTGAAGGGCAACATAGGACATTAAACACTTCTAAATTACTTAAACTGCTCATAAGTGTTTCCCTTAAGGTAATAAAAATTTTTATGTTTTGTAGATCCTGCCAATAACTTCAAGAGAAGAGCTGATCAACCATTTAGAAGGGCACTATAAATTGCACCAAAGTTAAGAATCTGAAAGAACTATAGTCTCCACAAACTTTCATGTGATCACACCATGTCCATTGCATTTTATGGCATATCCACTTTTATAAGTCTATTTATGAGTACAAAGAGGCTTAGCCACCACTTCTCTGGCTTGCCAGCTTGGACTGACTGCGGCTATTTTAACCACATTTGCCTCTAGAAAGAGCACAGCCAACAGTTCCAAATTCCTGAGGGAACCATAACTGTTTATACTGAGAAAACTGAATGACACATCGCTTGGAAATTTGTTACTATTTAAGCCACTATCAACTTGGGTTTTGTTTGTCCAGAGTGATCTCTTATGGCCCAAAGTGCCATATTTCTACCTAGCCCTCAAGAGAGACTGGTCCCAGGAGCAGAAAACTGTCTTGGAGAGAGCTTAGACAACAGGCACCAGGAACCAACACACCCTAAAAAACACACCCTAAAAAAAGGAAGGTCTCAGGGCTCAGCCAATGTTCTCCATCAGGTAAGGTTCTTCCTTACCTCTTAAGTCCCACGGGAGTTACATGTAACAGCCTAGGTAGATGCTGCTCATGCAATGCATTTGCATCACAGCTGAAAAACTCTGGGCTTAAGAAACTCCGATATTTTATCATAAAAAATGGACAAGAAAACCTGTCTAAAGTTACTTCAGAGAGAGACATTATTTTTATTATACTGGACAGCAAAAGAACTTGCCCTCTGCTCCAGAGGGAGATACCATCTCTATCTTCTATTCGCTATCAAACATCTTTGAAAAGATCATCCAGAACTAAAGACTATCTCAGTACCTTTGCTCACAAGATGTTCAGAAACACGAGAAACACGTGAAAAATTGTCTCTTAACAGGAAGCTGAAAAAGTCAGTGAATAAATGAATGAATGACACAATTTACGGACATCTTAGAGAAAGAGGCAAAGTAACGAGTACTCGATACAAATTGTTCATCAATTCTCTACTCTAGATAAGCACACAAGCATGTGTCAGCAAAGGTCATTTCTGCTCACCAAGGAAGATTCTCATTTTCTTAATTTAAATGTATGTCGCTCTTTCAAATAATTGGCACTCCTTTGAATAAATCCTACAAAACTTAACAAGTGACACTTTTTTTTTTTTTTTGCAGTACGCGGGCCTCTCACTGTTGTGGCCTCTCCCGTTGCGGAGCACAGGCTCCGAACGCACAGGCTCAGCGGCCATGGCTCACGGGCCCAGCTGCTCCGCGGCATGTGGGATCCTCCCGGACCAGGGCACGAACCCGCGTCCCCTGCATCGGCAGGCGGACTCTCAACCACTGCGCCACCAGGGAAGCCTGTGACACTCTTAAACTTACCAAATGCTGTCTACTTGATGGAACCAGTTTCTTTCAAATATCACTGCATCACTTCACACGTGAACTATTGTACATATCTCTTGATTCTAAAAATCTTTATCCCAAAGACAAAAACGCAAATGACACAGAATTTTGAGACTGAAATTAGTCAAAATAAAGAAATAAAGAAAACTGTGTATAAAGACTGTGCTTCTAACTTCATTACACAGTAGATCACAGGCCTTGGAGGGCAGATAGACATAGGTTTAAGTCACAGAAATAGTTCACAAGTCATCCCTATCTTCTGTGGCTTCCTTCTTATAAATGCCTTGGTATATCTTTGTGATGATGGGGCTTTTTCTAAACAAACTGTTATTCCGGTCATAAATGGCATGAGCAGCATTCAAGGAATTCCAAGCATTATGATGGTTAAGCAGCATTTTGCAAACTGTATTCTGGGGAACACAAGTGCCCTTTATGATGTTAATAAATATTCTGCCATCTAAAAAACTTACTTAGGCAAGTAAGTTTAGTAAGCTATAAACTGCAAAATTTTTCAGAGACTCTAATTGGGCTAATGAGGCAGGCTCTAGAGCACAGGTTCAGTAGTTGTGGTGCACAGGCTTAGTTGCTCCGCAGCATGTGGGATCCTCCCAGGCTTGAACCTGTGTCCCCCGCATTGGCCTGGGAAGCCTCCCAGGCTTGAACCCGTGTCCACCGCATTGGCCAGTGATTCTTAACCACTCTGCCACCAGGGAAGTCCCCTATTCATTTCTTTAATCTGCATTATATACCGGGATTTTACATAAGCAGTCAGAAGAGAATCTACACAAGCCTCCCACACCCTCTACACCTACCCGCATCTGGGCCCACGAACTCTTCCTTGCCTGCTATTACTGTGGATGAATTATATTCCTCCTGAGACCAACCCTTCCACCTGTGCATTCATTCATGCCTTCCACCTCTCTCTTAACCAACAATATCATTCCAACTCTTTCCTCTCTCCTCTGCATCTCAATTTTTGCCTTTTCATAGGCTCATACCCATCAACATTAAACATGCAGTAATTTCTCCAATCTTAAATACATACATACTTACATCTAATCATACAAACCTCTCTTGGCCCCTATATCCCTCTCCAGCGACTACCTTGTTTCTCTTCTAGCTTTTATAGCAAAACTTCTCAAGCGAGCTGTTGATATCTACTGCTTTAATTGTTCTCTTTCCGTTCTCTCTTGAACGCTGTCCAATCAGATTTCCTCCCCACAGCTTCTGTAGAATCCTTCCTGTCCAGGTTACCTGACCTATCTGCCTCACATATTGTTAGTTGTTCAGGCAATAGCCATTTCTTTCTACCAACTTCATTGCTCAAAAAACAGCCATGTGCTTTAGGGGACTTGGGCCTTTCTCTAGCCTGAGGGTCAGGAATCATGATTATTCTCTAAGCCATCCACCCTACCACCATGGCTCTTACTGTTAGCTGGCTTAGGAAGGACATACATGTGTCACAATTCAGACCAATAAACCTGAGGGAGCTTTTGTACTTATAATATAGTGATTGTACTGGTTAGTTTAACTACTGCCCTAATGGTGAAAATTAAACCGATTGCAATTTAGTCTTAATTATTAATCAGACAGTTACAAACATCTTTTTGAATGTAGGGATTCTGTTTCCTTCTGTTTTGTTGATTAGACTGAATTCTGGAGGTCATTGTTTCAGGAATGATTTTACACGCCCATATCTATTCCACTGCTCTCTCATATAATGATAAATTGCTCAATAAGCCCTCAACTCAAGTTCACTCCCCACCCCCCATCATCCACGCTTAATCAGGTTCTCTTGTTCTACACCTTCTTAGAGACACATTCCTTTCATTTTGGATACTCATCTCTATAATAATACAACAGCTAGTATCATTATTTGAAGATATCTGTCTCCCCCATAAAACTGTAAACTCCTTGAGTGCAGGGACTCTGTTTTCTTCTCATTGAATAGTCAGCACTTGTCACAGTGTAGGCACATAGTAGGTACTTAATTATTATTAAGTAATTATAATTACTTAATAATTATTTGTTGAGGTGAGAAAGTAAGACAGAAGACAGGAAATCCTCTGCATAGTAATATATGATAATATTTCATGTGCAGAACTGCATTGCATTCAGACATTCTATTCCTTGTAACGTGAATGAGCTCATCTCATTCAAATGGTATATGAGATAAACTTTTTAAATTCTAAGTAACAAACAAACTCTGGATAACAAATTTAAAAAATGGGGAGGGGGATTTACTGGATGAATACTGAGGCATTTCACAAGATCAGCGGAATAGTGGACAACAAAACCACAGGAAGGCAGGTGCAAAGGTAACAAGGTAGGAAACCTCAGAGCAAGAGTTAAGAGGCCTTATCTCTGGGCACTGCCATTAATAGAGCAGGCCTCCAATCAGACCAGTCTGTGCTTCTCTCCTATAAGTTTCAAATTGTCTGAAGAGAGGGTACAATTGGCCCAACTTGTGTCAACTGTCCTCCTACACCTGGATCAATCAACTTTGACTGGAGTGGCAGTGTCACACAGTACAGGCATGGTCACTAGAGGCCCACTTCTGTGTTTTGATCCATTCCCAGAAAAAAGGAAACTATTTTGAGCAAAGTGGCCACCCCAGGTGACAACCCCTTTAGATACATAGGGAAGATGTTTATATTGTCCAGCAATCATGTTAGAGCAGGGGAAGGGGCAATTTCAGGGTCAATTCTGTTAACAAAGAAATATTTTCATATAGACTTTTAATTATATTTATTGTGTATTTTATTTCTTTATATTTATAGTTATATATAATTTATATTATCTATGTTTATTTTCAAACACATAAAAGTAGAGATAAAATACAATGACCCCTCAATGTTCCCATCACCCAACTTTAATAATTACCAGTTTTTAATTATCCTTATTTTACCTTCTCCATACCCAAAAGCTTGTTTCCTGGGGTATTTTTAAATAAATGCCAGGTATCATATTTCACCTTATAAATATATCACTGTATATCTGTATTAGGTACGGAATTTTAAAACCATAATCATAATATCATTATAATACTGAAGAAAGTAACAATAATTCCTTAATATTAGATGTCACTCGTTGGTATATTTCCATTTCTATAAGACTTGGTCCCTTATATCAAAGAGTTTAAATCTAGAAGGGGTGTTAAGACCTTTACTTAAATAAGCAAGAGAAACAAACACCATAAGAAAAACAGAGATGAAGTGCCATGTGAATGGTCCAAGGAGGGAGACGATGGTGGAGACGGAAAAAGTAGAATATATATTAGAATACAATCAGGAACCCAGAAACAAGTGTGTAACAAAAAAATCAAGGGGATCACCAGAAGCTGAGAAAGTCAAGACTCAAAATTCAAATTGGCACCTGGGACTGACGGGCCGAAGTTCTTGAAGGAGCAGTGGAAGGTCAAAGGGCCTGGTACAGTCCAGAATCACAGGAACAGAGGACACGGAGCAAGGAAGGGAGACCCAGCTGTCCTGGTTTCAACTGAGAAGCAAGTGAAAATCCCCAGTGAATGGTCCAGAGGCTACAAGGGATGAAACCAAGAAGAGTTAGGTCTTGGAGACACTCAGCTGGGATGCAGTGTGTTTACTGCTGATCCAGCACAATCTGTTGTTTACTGCTGGCTTTGCTTCTGATTGTATGGGACTGTGATGTGTGAGTTGTTAAATATTTGAACATAACCCCTGATTACAAGAAATATTGCCATTACGTTGGCTTTTACCCAGAGTATCCTTAGTGCCTAGTCCAGTGTCTGAAACAGAGAAGGCATTCAAATATATTCTGAAAGAACAGATGAATGCATAAATTATATATTGCTTCATTAAACTATTTTTAAAGTTATATAGAAAAATCTCATTCATTCATTTACCTTTTATTTTTTAGAGCTCATGCTATGATAGCTTCCAGCCATGTTGAGGGATTTGTTCATTAACTCAGGTAAAAATTGGCTCCAAGAGAAAAATGAAGAAAGAAGATCCTAGAGAAATTATTTTTCAATATGCTTCAAAAAGTATACACTTCCTAGTACTAATTACAAAACAACCTTAAAAAGGAATTAAGATTATTGTCAGAGTAACATTTCTATCAACTAAATATTTCTCTTATTTGCAGAAGCATGAGTATAAAAGTCATAGAACATAATATAAAATAGCTAATGAATGAATGACCTTAACTGAAAGAGAAAGTTTCTTCTTCAAAAGAAAAAAACCTTAACAGCGGTAATATTTTAGAATTACCTTATTCTTCCATAAATCAAGAATTACCTAGGGACTTCCCTGGTGGCACAGTGGTTGGGAGTCCTTCTGCCAATGCAGGGGACACGGGTTCAATCCCTGGTCCGGGAGGATCCCACATGCCATGGAGCAACTAAGCCTGTGCACCACAACTACTGAGCCTGTGCTCTAGAGCCCATGAGCCACAACTACTGAGCCCATGTGCCACAACTACTGAAGCCTGCACACCTAGAGCCTGTGCTCTGCAACAAGAGAAGCCATCACAATGAGAAGCCGTGCACCACAATGAAGAGTAGCTCCCATTCGCTGCAACTAGAGAAAGCCCATGCACAGCAACAAAGACCCAACACAGGCATAAATAAATAAATAAATTTATTTTTTTAAAAAGAATTACCTAAAGGTCAATATTTCTGTCATTTCTAATAATATTGTGATCTTTTTTATTACTCGCTCTCTATTGGGGAAAAAAAGTAGAGTCAGTGTAAATATTATTTGTTATTCACACAAACATTTAATTCACTGTCATCTAGATAACTACCCTAATAGTCAAAGGGGTTCCTGAGCAATTTTACCTTGTATGAGAGGACTGAGTCAATTAAGCTCCCAAAACAATGTGTTAGAATGAACAAGGCTGGTTCATAAGGGATCACTGAATCGTTGTGCAGGAAACATCTTTGTTACATAAACAAGCTTATAAAAGTGCAGTGTTGAGTAAGAAATCTGGTTTGCTCCACAAATCACTGAAGGTTATAGCTTAAAATTATATGCAGTCTCCTCAAACATCTATCTCAGAAGGTTATATGTCTGTGTTTTGGGGGGTTTTTGTTTTTATTTCTAAGAAATAAATATTCACATTGGACTGGAAAACATTTCACTCTATAAAAACAAATAAAATGCAAATTGTGATTTCCAGAGTGAGTCAGAAAGTTATGCCACCACCTGTATCAGTAACAATCCCAGCACGATATAGACTAGTAAGGAGAGGGTTTAATGGAGAGATCTTTGAAGGGGTGGGCAGGGTTAAGGAAATCAACAAGTGAAAGTGAAGCACTCCAAGGCTAAATAATTGGGAGTCATGACCATCCGTAGATCCAAAGGAGTAGGCAATTACTGGAACCTGAAGAAGGTTGGAGCTGTATGTGCAGGAGAAGGATGCTCAGAAGAAGCTGTAGACTCAGGGAGAAGAAAGCAGCTATGAGGCCCTGCAGAGAGGGAACTGGGTGAATAAATACCCTATCTCCACTCCTTCTGCCCTTCAGATTTCCTTCCAGTGCCTCGTATTGTCTGAACCCAGTAGAAGCCAGAGGGCAAGGGAGAAAATTAATACAATCCATAAGGACCAGACAGAGTAGGTAGAGAGAGGGTCTAGAAGGGCATTGGGAAATATCCAACACACATTCCCTTCCACCACTGTAATTACAGTTTCATTAGCCTTACATATTTTTCAGCAGTTTCTCTCATCCCCATGATGGGCAAGTCAAGAAGCAATCTAATAGGTATTCAGGAAACTCAAACTTTCTAGATAGATCTCTCTAGATTCTAGCACTATATTAAAGTCTTATAGAAAAACATAGAGGGGTGGGATGAATTGGGAGATTGGGACTGACATATACACACTAATATGTATAAAATAGATAACTAATGAGAACCTGCTGTATAGCACAGGGAAATCCAATTCACTGTACAGTAGAAACTAACACAACATTGTAAAACAACTATACCCCAATTAAAAAAAAGCCTAATAACTAGAAAAAATATATATATATAAAGAAGTTCAAGACACGGATTCTTCCCCCAAGATAAAGACTGGAATAAATGGGAACAAGATAATATAGAAAACAAGTTGTAGATCATAGAAAATATTGAAGATTTGGCTTCAGGAAAGACCAGTTACCTTCTCTAAGGCAGGTTGTATGTGTGAGTTGCAGTTTTTATAATTTTTATAAACAATGTAGGAAAAGAAAGTTGAAGAGTACAGATGTTTTTTGGGGGAATGACAGTAACCTAACATCCTTAGAAACACTCTGGTAGCAAACTGGAACTTTACTCAGCCTATTTTGCTAGGCAACCTGTTCCAGGAGAGAAAAGGAGGCTAAAGAGAGAAATTGCCTATTCTTTCCATTGTCTTAACATGTACATTTCTCTAAAGAGCAAAGACTGACAGTTATCATAATAGCTGTTTTCAACATTTGTACGGCTGTTGCATAAAAGCCAAACCCAACATCAACTGGTGAAGGCTAGTCCCTCTGCCTAAAATGTTTTCCTCACTTCCTCGTCGTGCAAACTCCTGTTAACTCTTCAAGACTCCACTCAAACATGGACTCTGCTTAGCATTTTCTGAGTATTCTAGGCAAAGCCAGATCCTTCTCTGAACTTTAACCTCTAAAATGATTAAAATGAGTTACTTTTCAATAGTATCCTGGTTCGTATAATTACTTTTGAAGAAGCTACCTAATATTTGCTTTTACTATTTCATTCCAGTATAAAAATTTCATAAAAGACACATATGGCTAGCTTTGTTCAGGATCAAAAGCATTGCCCAGAGAGATCTTTTCATGGTTAATAAAATTTACTAAAAGAAAAGAACTTGCAATAACTATTGTAACTTCTAAGACAATAACTCTACACTTGAATGTATGAAAACTTTTAATACAGCATTGAAAGAAAAACCCTCTTTTCCCATTAAATATCTCATCCTTTGTTGAATAAAAAGCTATTATCCAACTACCAACCATTTATCTTTATGGATTTTTCATAGCAATAATTAAGATTGTCATTTTTTTTGTTCTCTAAGCATACCTATGAGATCGAATGACTTAACAAGCCATCGTTGAGCCTGGCTAATTTTAAGAGAGAAAACAGAAGTGCTTATAGATGTTCAATAGATACCTTTTTATCTGAAAAATTATTTGAAAACTAACCATGATGAAACTGAGGAAAGTCTGCTCTGGAACTTCATGGAACAATATAATCTAAATGGAAGGAAAAGCTAAATAAAAGGGGTACAAACATGAGAAGCAGTATCTTTTTTTTTCAATTTATAAAATTTTATAATAAAGGAACATCTGACACCACAGTTTTCCACTTTTGCATACATCGTTTTTTTGTATATCATTACCTTAACTGCTCTTCCTGATAATGTAGACTTTATTTTTTTTATAAATTTACTTATTTATTTATTTTTGGCTGTGTTGGGTCTTCACTGCTGTGCACTGGCTTTCTCTAGTTGCGGTGAGTCGGAGCTACTCTTCGTTGTGATGCGCGGGCTTCTCACTGCAGTGTCTTCTCTTGTTGTGGAGCACAAGCTCTAAAAGCATGGGCTTCGGTCGTTGTGGTGCACGGGCTAAGTAGCTGTGGCTCGTGGGCTCTAGAGCACAGGCTCAGTAGTTGTGGCAGAAGGGCTTTGTGGCTCTGCAGCATGTGGGATCATCCGGGACCAGGGCTCAAACCTGTGTCCCCTGCAATGGCAGGCGGATTCTTCTTTTTTTTTAACATCTTTATTGGAGTATAATTGCTTTCAATGTTCCGTTACTTTCAGAAGAAGTATCTTTAATTTTAAATTTCTTTTAAGGATTCTAAAATGTATGACCATTTGGAATCCAAAACAAGTTGGAGATGATGGAGAAGGTGAAATAGCTGCAACCTCATCCAATTTTCCATTTGAATCGGACACATGTCTGATGAATACAGAACTGTTCACTTAAGGCAGGCACAAAGCCACAACTTCCAAAAAAAACTGGAAAGAAATCACAGCTATCCATTCATTCATCAAAGATTTATTGAGTGCCTGGTCTAGGCCGGACACTGTGCTGTGTCTGTCTGCCTGTCTGTCTGTCTGTCTCTCTGCTAGTATAACACAGTGGACAATGTAAACATATTGTTAAAATTATACATGTTACATGCTGAAAGGGGAACTCAGGAGTTAACATTTATTAATGGGCCAGGCACAATATATACAGAGTCTGATTTAATCTTCACAATGTCCCTATGAGCTTGGTATTATTCAACCAATTTTACAAATGGGAAACTAAAGCCATGGAGACTCAATGAGTCACCAAGGTTACCCTGCTAATGAGGGGTGGGGTTTAAATGCCAACTAAGATCTGTCTGACTCCAGAGTTTATTTTCTTTTCTCTCCACAATGAGAGGTAAATCTTCAGGCACATGAGGAGAATTTTGAGGCACCTCTGCATAAGTACCCTAGAGTGTATGCAGTGTGAAAAACTACTGCTGGACACCAGGCCTGAGGTTGGCAGTAGAGTGTGGTGGTAACGCAAGCTAGGAATGATGG